TCCTGAAAAATCCGAATTTGTCTCACTTCTTATGGAAACACCCCCGTATCTTCCGTAATAATTGAAGTAGATTTTTTTTGGTTTTGACATCAAAACATGAACGAAATTGTTTAAGAGAAACTCGACTTTTGTTTTCACATAAATAATTTATTTTTTATTTTGTTGTCAGGAAAGTTATTCCTTCTCAATAAGAGAGAAAAATGCTAATTTTGTAAGAGGAACGGAAATATGTAATCAGTGAGGTTTTAGGATGGTTACTGTTAGTTAATATTCTCATTTTCCCATTATTTAAAAAAAACAAGGATATTTTGTGGCGAAAAATGTTATGTAGTTCAAAATTCTTTCGAAGTACTACTTTCAAAATCACATTTTCAATTAAAAAACAAAACAATCAATTTCAAATGATTTAACTGTTGACAATTTTATATTTTCGTGCCTTCTTCAAGATAAGAAAATGCATGTGTCTTAATTATTGAGGTAAAATATGTTGAATTCGCTTGTTTCTCAGCAAATATATTAGACTTCATAGTGAAATAAATACCAAAATTACAACATGGGGTCAATAGAAACATACATTTACGATCTTCTATAAAACCTATTCTACTGTTTTTTCAATAATAGTAGGCTCTGGCCTAGATGACATTAATTATTATTATTATGGAACAAAAAGTGTTTGACAGTGACACAACTTGTTAATCAAACCATTATCATTGTTTCAACTTGTTTAAAATTTTGAAATATTGTGAAATGAGAATGTATCCCCAGAAACAGCGAATTGATATGATTTGATAATCGGTGAGTGTGAAGAAAACTGTTTATTAGCGTCAAGAGTATATGTCCAAAGGTATCCTAACAGGAGTCATCCTAACAAGCGTTCATTGGAAAAGTTGTTGCAGCTTTTCCGAGGAACAGGCAGTGTATCTTATAATATGCGAGAACGGCAAAAACCAGTTACTGGAAATGAGGAAAATGAATATTTAGTGATGTTATCTCTAATTGAACACCCTCACGCAAGTCAACGAAAAATATGCGAAACAACTGGAAAAACACCCTGAATATAGCTTTTTATTCAGGGTTACAATGTGACTGACGAATTTAACTTTGTCAATTATTCTGGCAATTGACAGAATTCAACAAACTGGTTTGCCCCACGTTGGTCGGCAACATTTATAAATTACGATTCCAAAGAAACACCTGTTTTCTATCTTGATTCGAAAGTGTTTAGCAAATGGCAATAGATTTTATAGAAAAAACTGATAGTGAAAGTGTCAATATATTTTCTTAAAACATCAAAGAAAGCATTCGAGCTCAAGAATATCGGCAAGTTATATAATTCTCTGTATTTTCGTATCGGTCAAGGAATCTAGACTTCCAGGACCAGAGATAACAAAGTTATGCTGTTATGAAGTATGACGGTCGTGGTTTACAGGTTTTCATGCCTGGGTTTTTGTCTACAGCTGTTCCATTATCAAAGGCGACTGTTGCCTCATTGTCTTTGATTGAGTCTACCGCATTTATAATAATAATAATAGACGAAACGTCTGGCATAAAACCAGCGGACACAAACTATGATGATAGCTGTGATCTGTAGAGTAGAGAGGGTGACTGTAACTTACCCTCCCTACACAGCACTTAGGCCACATGTGACCCATTGTACATCCTCCCGAGGAGTTGTCCTCCTAGGTCATCGTCCATCCTGTCCTTTCCAGGAAGGTGGACAGGTCACTGGGAGACATCTCCTTTTAGCAGGGGAGCCTACGATGCAAAATGTGGATTTACTCGAGCGTCATTGAGACATATTAGGTTGCAAAGCTTAGATGATAAGAAGAAAAATATATAATATATACCTTTTCATCGGTGGGGGAAGCGGCTATAGATTTTTAAATATGTAAAAAAATACTGTTGCATGGACATACTCGGGCGCGTCAAATATTGATAGCATCAATGTCCTACGTATTTTTAATAATGTTGGTATGTTAATCTGATCGTTTGCATGATGTGGGTGGTTGTACGTAAGGGATAAAAGTGAAAAGGGGGTGTTAAGTGCAACAAAAAAAAGCTCTCATTCAATAATCTGACGATTTCGATCTGACGCAAAGTCGCGGCCATTATTATAATGTGCAAAAAAAATCGCCATTTTGAAATACTCAAGCGCGTCAGATTAAGATATATATGGTTCATCTTTACGTTTTAGACGTGCTGCCTCATAATCTGACCATTATCTAGAGGGATTCGCTTAATCTGACAAAAACAATATTTTTAATTTTTTTTAAAATTCATTGAACTCAATTAATTGAAAAGCTCAGGAAATAGCATGCAAATAAATAAGTGTGTGTTTTTTAAGTACAATACTTGTATTTATAAGAAAATATTTTTTTAATGCTCAAAAAAAAATTAATTTTTCATAATCAATCGATTAATTATTGAAGAAAAGATAAATGAATCTTTCGATGTTTTTTACCACTTTTATTTGTAACTAACGTTACTGCAGTTTCGTCCTATAAGGACATTTTCAATCTTATATATTGTATAAGTTTGAAAATGGCTTTATAGGACGAAACGTTAGTTACAAATAAAAGTGGTAAAAAACATAGAAAGTTTAATTTCTCCTTTCTTCATTATGATTTCCTACCACGTAGTAACGGCTACATCCATGAATTAATTGATTAATTAATCATCATCTTCATCACGAACGAGTCTTTGTGATCAGCTATGATGGCGTCATGGCAACAGAATTCAGAGTGGGGACGGAGTGAGAGAGTAATAGATAGAGAAAAGGTGAATAGAGAAATATAAACTCGGAGAAGGAAATATAGGTATCACACAGCTGCACGCATTAAACTTTATAGACGAATTTTTGTTATTTCGGCTTGCGGAAATCGTCAGATTATATATTTTTCGTTAAACTTGAATTATTTCCTTAAAAAAAAAAATAGCTACGCTCGAGAATGTCGAAATGACGATTTTTTTTTACAACTTTGCTGCCCTCCCCTTTCTTTACGTCACTCTCAAATTGTCAGATTACTGGAATATACACTTTTTAGCGGGTAATTAACTCACCCTACCTTAATCTGACGCGCTCGAGAATTTCTGATTATCAATTTTTTTTTACTAATCTGATCCTTTATCCCTTACATGCGGCCTTATATATGTGGCTCATATTTGGTGGAGGTACTTAACGGGGTACAAGGTATCCCCCTGAATATTAATCTGCAGTAGAGGGGATACAAGAGAACTGGGGCGTATTCCGTAGGGGATGTAATTACGGTAGTGAGTGGGAAAGAGAAGTGTGCGACGTGATCGACGCATAGAAGGATGGAAGCATCGAGTAGATTCATTTGATAGATAAGAGCGCAGTGGAATTACAAAAATAACGCTATAATATTAATAATGAACGAAAAATCGGATTAAAGAAAAAAACATGGCCACTGGCGTTAAAGAAAAAAACATGTCTGCCAACGTAATAGAAAAAAACATGGCTGTCATACAGGGTGTCTCATCGTTTAGGAAAAAACATGTACGGGGTGTCTCAAATACGTCAGCGTGGAAAATAATGATACAATAATAATAATGAACGAAAATCGGGATTGAGGAAAAAAACATCGCTGCCATATAGGGCGTCTCATCGTTTAAGAAAAAACATGTACGGGGTGTCTCAAATACGTCAGCGTGGAAAATAATGATATAATAATAATAATGAACGAAAAATCGGATTGAAGAAATAAAACATGGCCACCGGCGTTAAAGAAAAAAATATGGCTGTCATACAGGGTGTCTCATCGTTTGAGAAAAAACATGTACGGGGATGTCTCAAACGATGAGACATCCTGTACACATTGAGGAATCACATGACAAAACGATAGAGCCTCGTTAAACTGTCATGTCTTTTAAATGACGTATTTTGAGACACCCTGTTCACATTGACGTCATGTTTTTTTCTTGAATCCGATTGTTCCTTCATTATTATTATACCATTATTTTTCACGCCAACGTATTTTGAGACGTTGTACATGTTTTTTTCCTAAACGACGAGACACCCTGTATGGCAGCCATTTTTTTTCTATTATGTTGACAACCACGTTGTTTTCTTTAACGCCCGTGGCCATGTTTTTTTTCTTTAAAACGATTTTACATTCATGATTATTATTATACTATTATTTTCCACGCTGACGTATTTGAGACACCCCGTACATGTTTTTTCTTAAACGATGAGACACCTGTATGACAGCCATGTTTTTTTCTTTCACGTTGGCAGACATGTTTTTTTCTTTAACGCCAGTGGCCATGTTTTTTTCTTCAATCCGATTTTTCGTTCATTATTAATAATATAGCGTTATTTTTGTAATTCCACCGCGCTCTTATCTATCAAATGAATCTACTCGATGCTCATTCCATCCTTCTATGCGTTGATCACGTCGCACACCTCTCTTTTCCACTCACTACCGTAATTACGTCCCCTAGGGAATACGCCCCAGTTCTCTTGTATCCCCTCTACTATCTGCCGCGCTTTAGTGAATCCGAAATCCTCGCTTGGGTTCCCCTATTATTTATATCGGCAGGTGTAGGCCAAGACTCGCCGAACACACACTCTCCTATTAACGGTAACTCCGGGCACTCGCATAGGACATGCCTGACAGTTTCATCTTCCTGTTCACACATCCTGCATAGAGGTGTGTCCACTAGCCTCATATTATGGAGGTGTTTCCTTAGTTGACGGTAGCCAGTCAGAAATCCTACTGTTAAGCGTAGATTTTTCCTGGTCATCGCCAGATATTTCTTCGGCGCCAGCTTCTTAGTCCAGCCGCTTCCTTGGCTAAAGAGTCGCCAATGCGATTACTTTTACTCCTGTCGTACCCTTTAACCCTGTTATTATCTACAGAGACTTTGGCTAAATCTTGGTGACACTCTAGTACTAGCCCTGAGGTTATACGTTGTCTGTTCAAGGCTAATAGGGCTTGTCTGCTGTCAGTGCAGATTGTTATGTTTTTGCCAGAAATTCTTTTCCTGGTTATTTCTTTTGTGGCTATTGAGATACCAGCCAGTTCTGTTTGGACCACGCTGGTATTTTTCCCTAAGCGGCAACACCGCATTGCCGAAAATATTTTAGTTGGCTAGAGAATGTCCGAATATGCCCTCCATTAAATTTTCAAAGTGATCCGTTGTCTGGTTCACCAGAAACGTCTAATGTGCCATCCACCGTGAATCAGCCTGTATATGCGTATTGCATTTGTAGCATCTGGCTCTGTGTTCTGTTTTATTTGTATTTTGTAGGGTTTATTAAACACACACCTGGATTCAATTGCATCACTTGTTGCCTGCAACAGAGGTTGCCTCAATTGACCCATTCCTACTTCGAGGTTTACACCAGCCGTGCGCAATCGTACCATGGCCATTAACGCCACCTCCTTAACGTACAGGTCCAGAGGGGCCAGACCTGTAATTCATTCCATTGCCGCGGTTGGTGTTGTTCTCAAAGCTCCTGTGATGTTTAAACAAGCCAGTCGCTGTATTTGATATCATTTTTGGATGGCCGTTGCTTGTAGAACTTTCGGTCCCCATGCAATGGCCCCGTACGTAACCATAGGTCTTATTATTGCAGTGTAGATCCAGGTGACTACACGGGGTGAAATACCCCAGCGTGTCCCACCGTCCTCTGAATTTTTAGCTGTGATATTTACATATTAAAAAGTATACACATTTCCTTAGTTTTTTTCTAAAACAAAAAAAAACTTCATCAATGAGCTGTCATTTTTGTGAGAGAGTCAATAAAAATTCACCATCGTTATAATTTGAATGCTTTATTCGTTCTCTCTAACTCGAACCTTCCTTCAGTGCCGCAAACCCCCTTCGACAGAAAACGGCATGAAAGCATCAAGGAGTTCATACATACGGAGCGAAGTTATGTGAGTGACATGTCGATTGTATACGAAGTCTTCGAGCAACCTCTGAGGAAGAGCAAGCTTATCTCGACCAAGGACGCCGACGAAATTTTCGTCAACTGGCAGGAGATCACTCAGTGCAACAAGAACTTCCTGAAGGATTTATTGAACGCCAATAATTCTGGTAGTGATATGGTGGGAGAAATCATATGCCGGCATGTAAGTGTAGTTATTAAGAAGGTAGTTTCTTTGTAAACACCGGGTATATTTTTAGGCTTAGCAAAGACTTTTTTTATTTTTCAAATATTTCGTTCGTGTTTATGATTTCATCAACGTACAAATGATATGAACATTTACAGATTCTTTAAATGCATAATCAAAGAGTGCCTCTCAAAGTTAGGTCATCAATACACTTGTGATATGGTTCATTCAAAACTTTTTTACAGTAGCGCAGGAGATCCATACGATTTTGAACTCGAAATTTCGAGGTTAAAGTCGAAAATTTGAGTTTTTAAAGTTTAAATTTCGCGAATGAAGTCGTAATTTCTAGGTTATGGTCTAAATTTGGAGAGTATAAAGTAGTAATTTCGAGTTTAAAGTCAAAATTTCGAGTTTAAAGTCAAAATTTCGAGTTGAAAGTCAAAATCATGTGATTAAATTCGAGATTATGAGTTCAAAGTAGTAATTTCGAGTTCAACGTCGAAATTTAGAGTTGAAATTATGAGATTGAAGTCGATATTTCGAGTTAAAAGTCGAAATTAAAGTCGAGATTTTGAGTTTAATGTAGTACTTTCGAGTTTAAAAGTCGTTATTTTAAGTTTAAAATAGTAATTTCAAGTTTAATGTCGAAAGCTCGAGGTTCAAGTCGAGATTTTGAGTTTAAAGTAGTAAATTCTAGTTTGAAGTCTAAAGTTTGAGATTAAAGTCGAAATTTTAAGTTGTTAAAGTCTAATTTTCGGGTGTGGAGTCGAAATTTTGAGATTAAGGTTGAAATTTTGAGTTTAAAGTCGAAATGATGAGATTAAAGTGGATGTTTTGAGTTTAAAGTAGTAATTTCGAGTTTAAAGTCAAAATTTCGAGTTTAAACTCAAAATTTCGAGTTGAAAGTCAAAATCATGTGATTAAATTCGAGATTTTGAGTTCAAAGTAGTAATTTCGAGTTCAACGTCGATATTTAGACTTGAAATTGTGAGATTGAAGTCGATATTTTCAGTTTGAAATAGTAATTTCAAGTTTAATGTCGAAAACTTGAGATTCAAGTCGAGATTTTGAGTTTAAAGTAGTAAATTCTAGTTTGAAGTCTAAAGTTTGAGATTAAAGTCGAAATTTCGAGTTGTTAAAGTCTAAATTTCGGGTATGAAGTCGTTATTTTGAGATTGAGGTTTAAATTTTGAGTTTAAAGTAGTAATTTCCAGATATAAGTCGAGATTTTGAATTTGAAGTAGTAATATCAAGTTTGAAGTCGAAATTTTGAGTTTAAAGTCGAAATGATGATATTAAATTGGATATTTCGAGTTAAAAGTCGAAATTAAAGTCGAGATTTTAAGTTTAATGTAGTAATTTCGAGTTTAAAAGTCGAAATTATGGAATTAAAGTCGTTATTTTAAGTTTAAAATAGTAATTTCAAGTTTAATGTCGAAAGCTCGAGATTCAAGTCGAGATTGTGAGTTTAAAGTAGTAAATTCTAGTTTGAAGTCTGAAGCGTTGAAGTCTAATTTTCGGGTGTGGAGTCGTAATTTTGAGGTTGAGGTTGAAATTTTGAGTTTGAAGTTGAAATTTCGAGTTTGAAGTCGAAATTATGCGATTAAAGTCGAAATTATGAGAGTAAAGTCGAAATTTTGAGTTTAAAGTAGTAATTTCGAGTTTAAAGTCGAAATTTAGTTGAAATTATGAGATTGAAGTCGATATTTTGAGTTTGAAATAGTAATTTCATGTTTAGTGTCGAAAACTTGAGATTCAAGTCGAGATTTTGACTTTAAAGTAGTAAATTTCGAGTTGAAAATCGAAATTATGAAATTAAAGGGGAGAATTTGAGTTTGAAGTAATAATTTCGAGTTTAAAGTAGAAATTATGAGATTAAAGTCGTTATTTTGAGTTTAAAATAGTAATTTCAAGTTTAATCTCGAAAACTCGATATTCAAGTCGAGATTTTGAGTTTAAAGTCTGAAGTTTGAAATTGAAGTCGAAATTTCGAGTTGTTCCAGTCTAAATTTCGGGTATGAAGTTGTAATTTTGAGGTTAAGTTCGAAGATTGAACAGTTTGATTTTCCCCTTGAAGATGATCACTCGGTGATCAAAACACGTGTCGAGGTGTTAAAATAAAAGTTTGGTGTTGGGATAAAACTCCAGTAATATTCATTACTACACCAAAATTTCCAAACACTGCATCACATCGTTTAAACTTAGCAAACCAATTCTCAGCAGTTGATTTTGCTGATGCAAAGTCCGAATAATTTTTATCAAGCCAAGCCTTGGCTTTAACAGTATTTTTTTCGCCGAAAAGCAATGCTTTATCAACACAAGAAATTCCTTTTTGTGCATTTTCTTCAACCTAAAAAAATTGCTTTACTCAAATTGTTCTATCCCACAAACTAATAGTCCGACAGCTGTGAAATTTGTACACGTGTATTTTGAAGGTTAGGGTTAACTGAAAATCATATGGATTCAATACTAGTAGCGCCATCTGTGTGTTAGCTTACGAACTTTTCAGTCTATCGATACTAGTATTAGAAGATTATTGATCATTCAAAATTTTAGCTCCCAAGAATGACAGCCTACATCACTTTTTGTGGCAAGCAGCTAGACAGCGCTGCGTTGTTACAGAAATTAACAGAAAGTTCCACTGCCTTCAGAGAAATGGTGAAGAAGTGCCAAAATAATGTCGCCACCAAAGGAATGCCTCTGTCGTCGTTTCTGATAAAACCGATGCAGAGAATCACCAAATACCCCTTGCTGATCACCAAAATTTTAGAGAATACTTCTCCAAGCCACCCAGGTGATAATATAATCAAACGTTGATAGATCAAGATGATACTGACAGTTGTTTTTTCAGATTTCCAATATCTGGAAGAAGCTCTACGCCAGGCGGAAAAATTTCTGAACTGCATCAACGAAAACGTTCGCTTGAAGCAAAACCAAGACCGCATGGAATGGCTGCAGCAATCCGTTCAAAATGACCTGAATCTCGTATTCAACAGCGACACAAACAAACTGGGACCGAGGCAGCTGCTTCACTTCGGTATCTTCTCGAAACTCAAGACCAACAAAGAACTGATTGGATTTCTGTTCAACGATTTCTTCATGTTGGTGCAGCCTAGCAAGAGCGTCGGGTATCAGTTCTCTTTCCAGAGAAATGGAAATGTAACATATAAGATGTACAAACAGGTGGGTTGATAATCTTTAATGACTCAGTCTTTTATTTTCGAAGAACAACTGTAGTTTACAGTCGATAAATAGTGATCTATATTAATATTTAATATATTTTTAATATTTGTTTAGTGACAGGAATATTTCCAGATCAAATGAAGCTGGCAATAGTTTTACCACTTTATAAAAAGGGTAATTATGGGTAATTATAGGCCAATCAGTTTGTTGACAACTGACAGTTATTCGAAGTGATCATATCTACTAGAATTATTAATTTCTTCAATGCCTATAATTTGTTCGAAGGAAAAAATACAGAAACAGCATTGTTTGATTTCATAGATGAAATTCATTCTTTACTAGAACAAGACTCCATGGCTTGTGGACCTGAGTAAAGCTTTTGTATTTATTAAATATACATAAAATATATTTAATAAATACAAAACAAAGTCACCTTCACAAGAAACAGAACACACTACGCCTATGCAGATAAGGACGCTTGATAATGAAGGAACCGAATGACTAGTTATGGCATTTTAAGGACGCAAATATAATAGACCTGCGAAGTGTTGATCAGTTTACCGATGTTTCAAAGTATTTAACGAACTGGTTCACCTATTCGCTCGTACATCCTATCGATATGCAGAAGCTATCTTGTTACGGGGGGCAAATTTTATGGAATCATCTTACTTTTCAATTATTTACAATGGCGATGCATAGACAATAAATAAAAATGACCCCGGTAAGAATTTAGTTCTAACATTTAACATTGTTGCCGTTAGCTCTCAGTTCAATTTGTATATGAGTTACCTTCAATTGAAAATTGTTATACTATAGTTATCTATTAGAAAATTATACTTACCGCAGCCGCTTGACAGTGACTCTCGGGGGTGGTCTTTGGTTCTGCTTCGTTGGCCTCCTGTGTTTGTCCCTCTCTCAGAATCTGGGGTCATCCATGCTTGCTGTGTTATGTACGTCGCTTAGCGCTGGGTTGTCGTGCGCTCGAATTCTTTCGAACGTGTCCTGTGTGTGTTTCCTCATGCATGTGTCCACGTAGTGTATGTTCAGGTCTAGATCCCGGAATATGTACCTATTCCGTACATATCTTGGAGCGTTTACGGTGGCCCTTACGCACGCGTTCATAAACTACTGGATCTGTCTTCTGTATGTCGCTGCGCACTGGCCCCAGGCTGTGCAGGCCTACAGGATTATCGGTAATATTACAGTCTTTATCATCAGCAGCTTCACTTTCAATCCCATGTTGCTTCTTCGACCTATTATTGGTAATAGGTTTTGTCGGGCAGATCCTGCCATTCCTATTCTCTGCCGTACGTGAGACCTGAACGTTAATCTTTTGTCTAGGTTGGCTCCCAGGTATCTAGCTTCGTTGGTCCACGGAATCTCTTGCCCGTTGAAGGTGACGTTTCTTTCCGGGTGTACCATCCTCCGGGTGAACGATTTTGCCTGACTCTTGTCAGGGTTTACACTGATCTTCCACAGGTTGGGCCATTCCTCTAATCTGTCTGCCTGTTGTTGCAAGTATCTAGTGACATGCGCTTGGCTTGTTGATCTCGTCAGCAGAACTGTGCCGTTGTGTGGCAATGGTTTTGGTGTTTTCGAAGCTTATAGTGCGGCCTGATTCAAGATGATGTTTGAAGAGGGATGAGGCTGGAGCTGATTTACGAGCAGCAAGCTCATGTTCATTGACTCTGTTGGAGATTCTTCTGTTGATCTGGCCGATGTAAGTTCTGGAGCAGGTGGAACATTGCATTTCGTATATGCCCTCATTGGGTATTTTGTCTTTAGGTGTTCTTATATCGTGCCTCTTCGGAATTCGGCTCACTTTGTCGGCAACTCCATGAATATACGGAAGAAAAGCTTTCGGGTGGTCCGTCTGTTCAGCTAGTCGTGGGGTACGGGTTTGCTGAAGATGGATGGATCTATCTTTGGGTGTGGGATTCGGGATGTTCTATAAGTTCTCTCAGAATTAAACTTCGATTTTTTTCAAGTAAATTATATCATCTTGAACAATTTTTATTCGTTTCAAATGAAGTATTTCAATTCAAATACTTCAATTCACCTTACTTGTGGTCATCACAACCTATTACACCTGCTTGACAAATTGTACTATTTTCAGCCGATTTTAATTCAGAACTTGTCGATAAGTAGAGAAAGTACAGACAACGTGGATTCCGGAACTGACTCAAACAGAGTTCTAACGATTCACGACGAGAAGAGCGCCTACAAAATAGCTCTACTTGTTCATACGGTGAACGAATGCAGCTTATGGATGAGGAGGATTGAAAACGCGAAAGAAGCTTGTTCGAAAGCTTTCACTTTAAGCCACCAAAACAAGAGGAAAACACGTGAGTTTAAAATTTTTCACTGTGGAAGCAATTTGATGACCTTTCTTGGTGTGTACATCGTTTTTCGCTTTTTAACTCTTACCTGAGCTGTTTTTCACATGACTATACACCTAAATTTCGTACCTATTTAGGTATTACAGTTGAAACGTTTCTCAAATAATTGTATTTTGCCTTTCACTGAAGTTATACTGTTTAAAACCATTCATGTACTCATCTGATGGGTTTACGGATTTGGAAGGTATCTTATAGGTTAGGAAATATTTACTTTCATGGGAGGAATGTTACTTTTTGTTATCTGATATTGAAAAGCAAATGAAAATTGGACGGTTAATGTTTTTTACCATTGCACGCAGAATATTTGTTTTGCATGTATCTGTTTCACAAAACTGACCATGCTTTTTAACAGTTTTTCGCGGGCTGGTGAAGACTTCAACTAGATATGTTTTTGACATGCGCATATGCGCACTTTTCATACCTATTTAGGCATTACACTTGAAAAGTATTTAAAAAATGTTATGTTATAGGTTAGGAAATATTCACTTTCTTTAGGGGAGTGTTACTTTATGTTATCTGTTCGTGAAAAACAAAGATAAATTGAAGGGTGAATGTTTTTTGAAGAGTCAATTCAGGCATTCAGAATACTTGTTTTACATGAATCTGTTATTACATGTCAATGTCAAATACAGTATTACCAATAATGCAGCATTACCAATCACTACACTATAGCAGCTCACGTAAGAGATACAAAATATCCTGGTTTTGGTTCTGTGTTGGTCTGGTCAATTAAATACATATTTATGGGTTTTGCTAAAACCAGAATATTTCAATTTTTGAATTACTTGTATTACAGCACTTTTTGAAAGTTGGTCCGCACAGCTTGTTTTCACATGTTTCACTTAATATCACTGTGATTGAAGCGTCGCTTGTGAAATTCTAATTGTCTGAAAGGGAAACTGTTGAGTCTGTTTTTCTATGTTGTGATGTGTACTTTCGGTAACCACTGTAGCACTGAGTTGAACCCCAAGTACTATGATATCACATAGTAACTATGACAAGAAACTAGAGCTGATTAGAATAATATTCCTGACCATGTTTGGAACGTGCGGAATATAACGTCATCAATGGAAAAAGAATGTGACAGGAAAAGTTGTGTCTACATTTTACATTTACCACTTAGAATTGGTCAACACAGATTCCCTAGTGAATTTCACTAGTTCGGACTACCATTGTCTACTATATAAAATGATTTGAAATCCCTGAAACAACTAAAAAAGAAGAAATAGAAATGAATAGCTGAAAATAACAATTATATTAAGCAAAATAAACCTGAAATGAAATAATAGTGAAATAAAATACAAGTAAAATAGAACAATTGTATTTCACTATTATTTCATTTCAGGTTTATTTTGCTTAATATAATTGTTATTTTTAGCTATTCATTTTTATTTCTTCTTTTTAGTTGTTTCAGGGATTTCAAATCATTTCATATATTAGACAATGGAAGTCCGAACTAGTGAAATTCATCATGAAACTTTGTCAATCACCTTCAAACAAAGATTCCCTAGGTTATGTTAGGTTAGGTCCAAAGTGAGTGGATCTATTCGACCCTCCACCGCAACCCGCAGGGGTTTATTGTGGCTCACATTTATTTACACTCGACCAAATAAACCCAGCTTCTTAACGAAGCCGATTAGTTTGTATGGTGAGTGGTCTTTCAGGTCAGACGGTGAGAGTACGGCTCTGCCGAACTGTAACGTTTGCTAACCTGCTCACGGGGGGTTTGTTCCTCCACCTGAGACAGATTCTGCGTACGCCGCTCAATAATTTGGTGCAAGACAGTTTCATAAGGTACCCCGCTCTTGAGGAGACGACTCAGGCGTTTCCTGGCAGCACCACCAAACCTTTTTTTAGGTTCAGTTATTGGATCAGGAGTTGGAGAGTTGAGAAGCTCTCGCTCCTGATCTAAATTTTCAGGGAGGTCAGTTGGAGTCGGAACCTCGACATCCATCTCCTCCGTAGACTCGCTTCTGCTCTAAATTTATAGGGAGGTCAGTTGGAGTCGTAAGCTTGACATCCATCTCCTCTGTAGACTCAAAACGAATTTTTAAGTTCACTCTTTCCAAAAGTCCTACGAGTAGCTAGGAAAAGAAGGTCAAACACGGCAGAGCCCCGCATTAGCGTGACAAAGCGATGCTACGACAAGAGGGCGCCCGGTATTTCGCAGGTTCCGTAGATATGCCATTCAGTTAGGGAATAACAGAACCACAAGTGATTCTGTCATTCCCGTATCCAGCGGGGCTACGTGGAAGCAGGCACCCGATGGCCGGTTTGCTCAACCCCCACATCCCAAGCCAATGCACTCGCCAAAAACAGCATGCACAGTGGTCCAAGCAGTGAAAGATGAACAAGGACAGCCAACCCGCCCAGATTTAATAAAAATAAAGAACATATAGTGTTCTTTAGGATTGATAGATTGAGATGATGAAAATTACCGAAATTGAAGAGAAGAAAATCCGGCTACTGCGGCAGACATCATCAGTGGTATATGCGTTGACTGCGAGGAGGAAAGTTTTGTCTAGAAGTCTCAGCAATGACTGACTGATGAGTTGCGTGTTCACTCGTATTTATAATTCTATGAGGTGGAGGGGATGGTAGTGGGGTTGATGACGGAGTGTCCATGCAAATGTTACTAGGTTGTTGTGATTGAATCTAGTTCTGCTGGTATGCTACTGGTGGTATGTCTACATTGCCGTAAAGTTACATTCTTATTTCAATACAGTTGAAATCATCATCGAAATATAGCAGGTGGAAACAGCAGTGTAAAAAAGAAGAAGTTGAATATTAAAAAAAATGTAAAATCCGTTTTCGTTGTATTTGTCTCACATATTCTCCTCCACATGCTCTATTGACACAACTTTTCCGATTGTTGATAATCCCGCACAAATGAAAATCAAAATGGAATATCTACCACAGACTACGGAAGATTTTGGAGTGGAATTTTCAACGAAAAAATACAACCGTTTTCTTTCAGAATGATCATTGGACTAAGGGATCTCAGAAACCTTAAGATATAGAGAGTTGACTTCGAAAAATCAGTGGTAACACCGTATTTCTACAGTTTACTAAGCGATATACGAGAGCTCAGTATTCTTACTTAAAAATCCCCGGAATCTACGGTGTTATGACTGACATAGAGCTTTCATTTTTGCCGTTAGGCCCAATTTTACTGCCAACTCCCTATCTGTTACAGTTTCCGAGATCCCCACAGAGAAACTCGAGTTGAAATAACATGGTATGTATTTATTTTTCTTGTATAGATTTTATATTGCCCCGTTCACTTGGAATGTTTTATTGGAATTTTTGCCGTGTTGTTTGGTACCTTTTTGTAGTTGGTTCTTCATGTCTAGTAGATGTGTTGGTGTCCGATTCATTTGAAAACGTTCCTTGTTTGTCTGTGCAGAACTCCACCTAGGGCCAACATGTGGGCGTCTACTTGTGCTTGTCCAAAAGGGGAAACGCTTTATATCATCGGGTAAGAATTGTAATTTTTTTATATTTCGTTTCAGTTCCTTACTTTCGAAAATGGTTGCACGTGACTCTTGTTGAGGGGAGAGAGATTATTAAAGTTTGCAATCGCCGGAATTGTAGTTGTAGAAGGAAGAAAGGTATATCAATTCAGTATTAACTTTTTTTTCAGTTCCTTTATTGCGGAGTTTCTTTTCATAATGATAATAATATTAGGTTGTTTCAAAAGTTTCGTCCTTTGCAATGTCGTGTGTTTCTGTAGCTTCATATCTCATTAAATATTTATTCAACTGTGTCGTGGTATACAGGCCATTTCTTTTATCATGTGGTAACATTGCTATAATCTAAATGGTAAGAGATACGAAGACGATTAAATCGGAAAAAAGGTAACTGTCATTGGGAAAATTTACGGAGACTCTCGCCAAAAATGTTGGTTTTCGTTTTTTTCGAATAGAATTGTTATTTTGGAGAATATCAAAAAATGGAAAAGGAAAATGTTATTGTTATTCGAAGTGTAATATGACGATGTAATAATGAATATTCGATAAAACGTTTCATGTCAACATGGCCACCGTCAAGTTTTTTTTTTAAATACGGACCTGTCTTTTTTATCACAGATATTGATAAAGTGATAAATTAACAATCCAAGGGTACATCACATTTGATATTTTTTTAGCGTTTCATTTGAAATAACCACCAATATCAGTGACAACAGTCAAAAGAAAAACAATTTATTTTATCATGAACTTTTGGGAAAAATGAAATCAATACGGAAAATCAAATTTACATCAAATGTTTGAATTGATGATTTCTTTGCTGAAAGCACATAAGTTGTCGGTCCAGACAATTTCTGTGTCAATTTTCTAGCATAATAGGTGTAATACTAATACATGCATCTCTTCTTTTTTGTTTGAGATGGTCGATATCTGAACTTGGTGTTGAAAAACTTTATCCTTCAAGTATCCCCAGACAAATAAATCTAATGGAGTGAGATCTGGGGATTCAGCTGGCCAGTTAATTGGTCCATTGTTTTCAATCCATTTTCTTGGGAATATTGCATCTGAATGTTCCATTACTATTACTGCATTATGGGGAGGAGCGCCGTCCTGTTGAAAATATTGTATTTCATGGCTGATATTCAGTGGCAAGTAGCCATCGAATTCATTGAATAGAAAATGAAGATACATTTCACTATTCCAATGATCATTGTAAAGGAAACGGCCAAGGATGTTTGTTCCCATAATTCCCAAACATTTATTCCGAACTTTTCTTGGAAATTGGTTTCCCTATATGAATGTTCATTTGTATTATTCCACCTATAATGGATATTTCTGTTAAACCAACCATTGTTGGTGAATTTTGATTCGTCCGTCCATATTATTTTTTTACAAATATTTTCAACTTCTCTATTTCTACGTCTTAACCACTTCGAAAATCATACTCTCCTTCCGTAATCCCTTTCATTGAGATGATGAATTCTGCGAATTCTGTAGCATTTATATTTGTTCTTTTTCAAAATAGTTCTAGTATATTTTACAGAAATCTCATTTCGTGGGCAATTTCTGGAACTGGCCAATCCTAAATAAAAATTTAGCATTTTCATATCTACCTATTGTAATTTGCACTGCACTTGATTAATAACTGTTCGTAACACGATATTGCATATTATTTATAACAATCAAATCATTTATTGTTATTTTCACCTCATCATTTGTAAATACTCTTTTTGTGAATTTAACTAGTTTGGACTTCCATTGTCTACTATATAAAATGATTTGAAATCCCTGAAACAACTAAAAAAGAATAATTAAAAATGAATAGCTGAAAATAACAATTATATTAAGCAAAATAAACCTGTAATGAAATAATAGTGAAATAAATAAACTACAAGTAAAAATATAACAATTGAATAAATAAAAACAAAATAAAAATAAAGGAATGAAAAAAGAAAATAAAAATGAAGAGTGTAGATATTCCAAGTAACGTTAGTTCACGACGTTTCGATTGTTAGTATCTACAATCGTCTTCGGGTGATGACTGGGACTCTCTTTTTGGGTTTGTCCCGTTTTGTATTCCACTGAAAATAAATAAATAAAGAGTTCCCAAACAGTGAAGTTCTAGGTGTACTGAGTTGAACCTCAAAACGATGAGCAGACACAGTTCATCGCGTATTTCTGATAAGTACCGCTCTTGGTGGAATCAAATGTGCCAAGTCTCTTGAACACTTTCTATTGATTTAACCTTGCTAATTTTTCATATCGTGGGAGTTTACATGTATATCCAAAAAAAACAGTAAGAAATATTGAGTCCTGCACAAAAAATATATCCCCCAAAGAGTGTTTCTGATTTCAAATTATATAGTAAAACAAACATTTAAATAAATCATCTTATATATTCGTTGACGTCACGTCACGTCACGTGACGTTTTGAAGTATTTCGTAAACCGGCCCTCACATAAAAATGTAAAATAAAACTTCTTCAACAGTTGGCAAACCTTTTTCAGGAAAATCCCATTATGAGAATATATACTGCAAGGTGATGCTAGGGACGCAAGAGCAAGATACAGATGTCGCTAAGGAACATCCCACCAACGGAAATACAGTCCATAATAGCGCCCCGCCCATTCCCAGTCTCGTGTGGAACTACAGCATGCAGTTCCAGTTGAGGAACATCAACCAGGAGGTACTCGCCTTCATCGTGTGCGAACGCAATGAGTTCACCCCAGACGGTAAGAGTTGTCTCAAGTGAAAGAGAATGAGAGAAAGAGAAATAGGTACATCATATAAGAAAGAATATATATTTCGATTTAATGATCTCTCCCAACTACATACACAGTACGGTCTGGTAAACGTCTGTCGGAAAACAACTACTTTCCCGGCTAATGCCACGCTGGATATTGAATTATATCCGACAGACATTTATGCAAGATTCCTCACAGAGGCTAGCCTCGGAGATGTTTCTTGTTCATTCAGCAGCAGGACAATGCTGACATTATTCAAGTAGATCGTCAGCAGACCGCGGTTCCGAGGTATCACCTCTCGTCAGTACAGGAATGATCCTACCCAGACAGGAAAGTGTCTGGGACTCGATCAATTTCAACACGTGGCTCCGCAACATCGGTTATAGATAATAAAGGACAATGAATATGTTACCTGTATGAGACAAACAAAGATGACATATTTCAGAGGCGTGCTGTTCTGTTTACTTATGTTCCGAGTTCCGAGACATTCTGTGACATATGACATTTTATGAACCTAACCTATCTTCCTCTATATAAATAAATAACAAAACAACTGTTGTTTATGTGGCTTGTGGAGGTGGTATTGAACTATAATTTATATGTTGCCTTAATTGTTGATTTATAAAGATAATTTTCCTTTTTCAAAGTAGAATATCTAGGTACGTATAAATTATTTCAACTTGATATAAGCCCTGTTGCCAATATGTGAATTAGAAACAAATCCCTTTAAAAATGAAAACCCAACATTTGAAACATAATTTGAATACTTTCCGAAGTGAATTTGAAAAACTCATGAATTAAACTCAACCTTATTTTGTTCAAACTTGCATTTACTGTAATAACCCAAATTGAGGAACATTCCCCATTGTGAAAGTTTGTCCTTCACAATCCCTAGTAAATTCAAATGGGATCGTTTAGTGAGTTGTATAATAATTCAGAACTATGCATAGCTTTTTAAGGGGTTGTTCTAAAAAAGTTTTGTCCATATGCATGAGTATGTTTTACTGTAATATCTCTGAATACTTATTCAATTGATGCGAAATAGGCGCCATTCTAATCAGTGCACTGTTGCCAACGTGCCGCCGATTAATTCTATCAGCATGAAAATTGTGTGCTCGGAATTCGATAAAGTCAACGAAGGCCGTTTTTGTTTCGTCGTGATTGTCGAAGTTTCTAGCGGTGATAAAGTTATCGAAGTGCTTGAAAAGATGGTAGTTTTTTGGCTAAAAGTCTGTACTAATGAACGTGTAACTGCTTTTATGATGCACTGTTTGGAACCTTTGGTGTAGTAATGAATAGTACTGGAGTTTTTTTCCCAACACCAAATCGTTATTTTTAACACCTCGACACGTGTATCTATCACCAAGTGATCATCCTCCTGACGAAAATCAAGTAGTTTTCATAAAAGAGCTCTAAAACAACGCATCATTTCAACCTTTTTCTTTAAAAAATTATTCAAATACTTAAAAAAAGAGGAATTAAATAATGCATTCAATATTTAAAGGGATTCGTTTCTATTTCACCATTTGGCAACATCGGTTATAGCTAATAAAGAACAATGAATATGTTACCTGTATGAGACAAACAAAGATGACATATTTTAGAGGCGTGCTGTTCTGTTTACTTATGTTCCGAGTTCCGAGACATTCTGTGATATATGACATTTTATGAACATAACCTATCTTCCTCTATACAAATAAATAACAAAACAACTGTTGTTTATGTGGCTTGTGGAGGTGGTATTGAATTAAACTCTACTTTATTTTGTTCAAACTTGCATTTGCTGTAATAACCCAAATTGAGGAACATTCCCCATTGCCGTTGTAGTATAATAATTCGATCGAAATCCATCTTGGTTCGGAGTTAGAATATCATTTGAATTCAGAAAGTTATGTAGAAATTCCAACATTATGTATTCGAATACTTTTGAGAGTGCTGAGGAAACAGCAATACGACGATAATTTTCCAAATTTTGAGTTTCCTTTTTTTAGGATTGGAGAAACTATAGAATGTTTCAGTTGCAAAGGAAACTGTCCTTGCTGAAGGAATATATTTATAATGCGACTTAGAGGCGCTATGATGTGAATGTTTGTTTTTGATTTTGTCCCTGATAACCTTCAGTATATCATCTTCACTGACATAAGTAATGAGCATACTATTTCCAATATTCTGTATCAAATTAGTTATCAAGGGGTTATTTGTAGTTTTGTTTATTTTGTCAACAATATCATGTGGAGTATTCACGAAAAAGTTATTAAAAATATTAGCGATATCGAGTGGATTTTCTACAAGACCATTATTACAGTCTACAGTTATATTACTTTTCTTTGAGGTTTTTCCTGATAACTCGTTAACAACAGTCCACGTGTTCTTATTTACATTACCTGAATAGTAAATTTTTCTTTGATAATATAGACTTTTATTATTCCTTACCATAGTTTAATGTTGCTTTTTTTGAGTTTGATAGAGTTTTTTCAGGGTGGGTTTAGTTACAATTGTATAATTATTATCTCGAATGTATTTATAAAAAATGTTGGTGTAATTTCTATCATTGAAAATGTACCGAAACATTTCATTTGTGAAACAGTACAATTGTGTTTTTACAGAGTTCCTGGGTCGAGCCGAACTGAGAATACGAGACATACTGGAGGAGTCTCAGAACCACAACGGTCCAATCACGAAGAAACTCATCCTGCACCAAGTCGAATCAGGAGAACTGGTCGTGAAACTCGATTTGCATCTGTTTAATAATTACTAAATCAAATTTTCGCTGTTATTCCCGCGATAGGCTGTGTAGGCTGTTCGTTATGTGCACCCGTAGGATTAAAGTTATGCGAGTTGGCGGATTTGCTCTCTAGGTCTATTTCTATGCGCGTTTACAGATTTCGTTGTTGTTGTGGGTATACAATTTTTTATATCGTTATATTTGAAATATATACCTTGATCTTTGGCAGTTTCCAAGTGGAATGGGCTTGTCTGAAGGTGCATCTCAATGGAAAAGTTTGCATAGTAGGTATTTGAGATTTTTTTCAACGAGAAAGTTGATGACGAGAAGCAGCTTGTGCTTTTACAATTTTCTATATTATTTCAGTTATAACGACACTAACTTTTATTTCTCATTATATTTTTACAGGTTTTTTGCTGAAGTTTCTCTCACTTCATCTGTTTCTGTTACTTGTGCTTTTCATTGTAGTTTTTTTATCCATCTGCCTTACAAAAGTTCCGAAATTAAGGATTTCTATGAGTATATCATATGAGAACAAAGCCGACTCACCTCCACAGAACTATTACTTGGTATTACAAATAGTACCATCTTGAAAAACGTATTATTCTTTATGTCACGAAATCATACATTTACAAACCCTAAACTGCTGAAGAATTTGAATTTCTAGTGAAGATATACATACAATGCAGATGTAAATAATTCTTTCCCTCCCCCTTAATTTTTGAACGCCACAAAATATCAATGTTGGACTCTTTTAGACATAAAAAGGGCAGATTTTAAAAAGTGACTGCTCATTTAAATTTGGGAAACGTTTGCTTGCCTCATTTCATTATTATCATTGTTCTATAGTTAGAATCATCCTTGGGCAGTTATTTAGAATATGCATTTATTAAAGTTTTTTTAGTCTCGCAGTTTTTCAACTTGAAATGTTTTCTACAGTTTTTTTTTGTTGGTGTTGGCAACACTTGCTGCTCGAAGTGATGACGTATCAGTATTAATCCCTAGACATTAATGACAATAACGACATGACGGCAGTGAAACAAAAACAATTACTGACAAGTGACATTGTGAGATGAGTTCATACTTTCTTTCAACTTTTTTTCGACATATTATTTAGCTTAGAAAATTTGTGATAAGATTCAATACTCATTCACAGGGGAATTTGAAGTTTCTAGGTTATGTAGCATTTGAGCATGACAATAAATGGTTGACTTATCCTAATGAGTATGTAAACAATATGACAATTCAGTTATAGGTATGTGACATGTAGATATTTTGTAATTCTTCACATGATGTATATTTCAAAATAAATGACCATGATGGTCCATATATTTGTTTTCAATGAAGCATCTTTTTTTCCATGGGGTGCATTACTTTTGGACAAGCACATATTTATATACTGGATGAGTTTCAAAGTTTGTACACTCATGTTTTGGGAGAATATTTTGTCTATATTCCTTAAGAGCAGTCACTCATGATTTTTCAATTTGAGTAGAATAGAAGTGGAATGTGACATCATTTGAACTCATTCAGTTATTAAGTTTTTGAAGAGTTGATAAAGCTTGCAGCTGCACGTTGTTTATTATCATTATTTACATATCACATTCTTCTTGAGATGTATTGTAATAGGATTCAATTCTGTCTCGATGTAGTCGAAATTATTTGAGATTTTCAGTATTAACTCTATTTCTTTAACTGGTCGACATTCCTATATATTCATGAACTAACTTTATTTCTACCTTCACTTTACTAGCTAAATACTTTACAATTTTTGTACGTTGAAGTATTAACCTTTTTTTTTCTAATGACACTACTACTTAACATTATCATACCTCCAAAAGTTGGCGCAGCTTTATTATAATTGAGATTGTTATGTATTAAGAATGCTTGGAGAAAAACATACACTGTACCTAACATATTTACAATAAATTATACAACAAATAGTTTTGTTTTAATAAATATGATCAAAGTCCAAACATTCTATATGGGAGCTATAGAAGCCAACAAAAATAAATTTCTTAGAATATCACCACACCAAACATATCTGTTCAAAAACTAGCTGAATTTTCATTTTACTCGAAAAATCTTCATTTGTTTATCAATTTGTCTCCTTCAGTCACTTTTTGGTATGTCCTTGAGCTCTCTTATCGATTCGGTTTTTATCTCATCAATCGTCGCAAAGCACCGTCCTTTCATGGACCAAATCTGGTGAATACGGTGGCTGAGGTATGATTACGCTGTTGTTTTTGACCAAAAAATTACGAACAAGCAATAACAAGTGAGCAGGTGCTTTATCATGTGTCACCACTTCTTTTTTCCAAATATTTCAATATAAATATGATGAGATCGTCCTACAGTTGTGATTGAACCAAAATGGCGGTTGATTGGATGAGTAAAACGAATCTTCCATCGACTACGTTCTACGGTTGATCCAGATACTGTTTAGCTGGGATTGACTTCGAGTCCTTCATTTGAAATCTAGGTTTGTATATTCAAAATGTATTCTGAGACGATTTTCTCTTCCTCGAGTCTGATGGTAACAACTAGATAATTGATATGACCTTGAGTCGTAAATCCATACTGAAGCAGTTTTGTTGTCAAGGGTTCGTTAACTTGAACTATAATAACTTACATTCTGGGTTCATTGTCACTTATAAATCCAGGGTGTGGTGTAAAGCCATTTTCAACATGGTTCCTATAGCCCCATGTTGGGTGCCAAGATGTCTAACGCGTTTTGAAGATCAGAAGTGGAAGATTTTGAATATTCGCAATATTTTATTAACTTTAAGTCGAAAATATGAATAACTAGCCTGTTTCCTATTTGTTTGGAAAATAACCTGTGCTACATGATACATTTACCAAATACGATAAAGGTTGTATTATTGTGGACAATTTTTCTCAAAACAAACATTGATAGTTCGTTACATCCCTAAGAATATTTATTAATAATATAGTAGATGTGTTATTTCAGATAAAAGAGGTATTCGCCGTAAACAAATTTGCTTTGTTTATACACTCAACAGCAATCATCATCCACGTATCTAATTCTTTTTTTCCGCGTCACCATACTTCAATACTAGCTTCCTCCAATGTTGTCAACAATAGATGAGAATGCTTTTTATATGCAAGATGTGTTGCATAAATATAAAAATTGTCTTTGTATAATTTCTGATGTATTTTCATGTTTCTTCAAAAAGTATTTTTTATACAACTGCGTCTCTATTGTTGCGTAAATATTAATTTTTTTCACTACCAAAATAATCCACAAAATAAACATGAAATATTACTTTTTCAAGGATTTATATTTAATAGTCAATTATTGATTGATTACTATCAATTATTGCGATCTCTGATTCGTTTTTTATCTCCTCAATCATCGCAAAACGCCATTATTTCATGGGTATCTTTAATCTTGGGAACGGAAAAGTCACAGGGAGCTGAATCAGGCAAATACAGTGGCAGAGGCATGATTAAGGTGTTCTTTTTGATTAAATACCAATGCATGCAAAAGCCACGTATTGTTTTCCAGAATACCGATAGTTTTCTTCGTATTGCTACTCGCAAGCGGCGCATAACATCAAGATAATACTTCTTAGTGACCGTACGACCATGTGGTAAGAACTCCTAATGCATTACGCCACGGTAATCGGAGAAAACAGTGAGCAGAACTTCGAAATTTGAACGAACTTGGCGTGGTTTTTGTCTTCGCTCTCCTGGGCTCTTCCATTGGGACTATTGGAGTTTGGTTTCGATGTCATGATCATATACCCATGATTCGTCACCAGTTATGACCCTTTTAAGCAAATCTGGATCGACATTGACGTCATTCAACGTTATTCGACGTTTTTTTTGGTCAAAATTCAGCAATTTTTGCTGAAAATTTGATGCAAATTCTTCGATTCATTTTTTTCGATAACAGGCAAAACACTTCTAACTTTTATGCCTCTCACTAACAAATTAAACATGCTAAACAGCTGAAACTGTGAACATATATTCGAGAAGAGTATACCAACATAAAAAATCGCTAATTAAATGTATGTCATCCGCGAAATTTGAACATTCACCTTATTTTTTAACAGACCTCGTCCTGTAATTGGTAATTTTGAGAGGGCCGAAGTAAGGTAATGTTTTTTCTGAAGAAGTTTTCAAAAGATATTTGATGTTTTAGAATTTGTTGTTGACAAATCACTGCCAAACCATTAAATTATTTAGAATAATTGGACAATGAATCTGTTACCTGTATGAGACTAACAAAGATGACATATTTCAGAGGCGTGCTGTTCTGTTTACTTATGTTCCGAGTTCCGAGACATTCTGTGACATATGACATTTTGTAAACCTAACCTACCTTCCTCTATATAAATAAATAACAAAACAACTGTTGTTTATGTGGCTTGTGGAGGTGGTATTGAACTATAATTTATATTTTGCCTTAATTGTTGATTAATAAAGATAATTTTCCTTTTTTAAAGTAGAATATCTAGTTACGTATAAATTATTTTAACTTGATATAGGCACTGTTGCCAATATGTGAATTAGAAACAAATTCTTTCAAAAATTATAACCCAACATTTGAATCATCAATTTGAATACTTTTCGAAGTAATTTGAAAAACTCATGAATTGAACTCAACTTTATTATGTTCAAACTTGCATTTGCTGTAATAATCCAAATTGGGGAACATTCCCCATTATGATGTAAATGAAAAACTTGAAGGTAAAACATGAAAAATGTAGAAATTGATTTATGTACCTATACTATCCTGTAAAGACTAGGCAGTAGTCTAATGTCCCACGAAGTTGGTTGAAGCCAAAGGTTCTACCATCCACTCCATTCAGGTACGTCGTAACCGATTGTCTGGGGATAGTAGTAGATCTTGAGTGGTTGAAACAGGCTGCAGAGTTGAATAATCTTCCTTTCGTCTTCACCAAGAAAGAAACTGAAAGACAAAAACACGATATATTCCTTTACATATGTTAAATGAGTCATTGGTTTTGCTATTATATCATTTAGTGTCTCCAAAAGTAACATTTTTTTCATCATTACACAATTTTCTAAAAAAAAATCCAGAGATCTTGTGATGTCTGACAATTTGGATTTATCGGTCGGTCGGCAGCCGGTCGGTTCGATGTGGGTGGTTTGTTCACACACTCGAATCGACCACCGTGTTGGTCGGTGGTTCAAGCCTCAGGTTGAACGAGCGATTTTCACTTGCTATCGTCCAGCGGCGGCTCGTCAGAGGAGGCAAGGGAGGCTTAGCCTCCCCATAAAATTTGAGGCTATTCATCGCAATAAACTAAAAGATATTGACAAATAATTATGATTATTTTTTTCAAAAAATGCTTGGGTATCATTACTTTACCATACATTTTTAATATAAATACATAATATGCCCGAAAAAACACTATCACTCACTACGTAGTACGTATCACACTGTATTCTGCATCAACAAACCTCAAACTCACCGCCCATGAACGAATAACGAATAAACCATCAACCCGAAATAATAAATGCCATACGTTGCAAGGGAGCCAAGCCTCCGACCGTTTAAAAAAACACAAGCTCCGCGAGAGGGATCCAACCAGCGACATACGTCCCAATTTGTAATTTTAATTGCAGAAATTATAGCGTTAGAGTAGGCTCCGTTAGTGTACGACTGCGTTTGTTTTTATTCAATTATTCGGACGGGATACCACGACGGATCGGGACTGAAAAATATTTATTTAAAAAATCATCTCGTTCTACAGAAAGACATTTAAAATCTAAGGAGCATATATTTTCGTCTTGTGAATTAAAATTGTTTAGCAAACAAAATATACCAACAGCTATATCGTCTTGGTTGAGAACGAATGTTATGTTTACTTTTAGTTTATTTTTTCCTTCCTATCAAAAATTACAAAATACACCTTTCAATTCACCTTTCGAAATGCGGGACCCTCGCAGACTATATTGAACTTGAATGACCGCCGATTAAAAGTAGTTTGCGGGTGCCTTGTGAATTCACTTATACAAACCAGATTTAACCTTCGTTCCTACGCCATCCTTCCTTACCTTTCCTGGCAAGACACAACTCTCACTTCCCCGTTGGTTCTTGCTGGACAATGAAATTTACTTTTAGACCTGCTTTTATAACCATAATTAAGTACTTGTGCTTATAAAATATTTGTAGCAACTTCTAACAAAACTATTATATTAGAAAAGTATTATTTATTGACTGAGAAGAGTTCATTTATATTAAATAACTCAAAGACATCCCTTTTTCCTTGTTTTTGTTTTTGTAATGGTCGGTTTTATACGTATAATTTTCGGCAATACACAATTTTTGTTTGCATTCATGCAAATATTACGTATTTTGTTTTAAATAGGTGCGGTACCCCAAAAAATTTTCGCGCCTCCGGCGGACTTCTCGGTATGTATATAGACTTTATGACTTTAGCCTCCTCTGTTCTCCAATGCACGAGCCGTCACTGCTATCGTCCAACCCGTGTTAAGAATCACGTTAAAAGGTAAGATCTCGTTAGTCCTTAACTCGCACAAGTTTCGACTTCTGAGGGTTGTCGTTCGTAGGGGTGCGACAGCTGGTTAACGGAAAAATAGATTTTAAACAGATTTTGAACATATCTTAGACTTTTTTAATTATTAAGAAATGAAAAAATAGTTTCTACTCCATTTCTTGTTTTTTTTGTCATAAGCGATTTATATTAACGAATATTTATTTCGCATTCATGAACGGCAGCCTTAATTGTACCTCATACACAATAATTATCCAACGATAAATTTTCTCATCTCATGCCTACGTTCATCAGCTGTTTCTGCACCGATCCACTTAACCCGGTAATTATTTATACCGTGAGTTCCGATGGGTTTGTTTGGTAGGCAGATAGTTTAATAAGTATGGCAAGCGCGGTGGCCTACAAAACCACTGAACAATGAAACTTATTCAGACCAAGCCGCTGCTCTTCCTTATACAACGAAATAAGAAATACCTCCGATTTGAATAAGGTCGCTTGTTCCGCAAGATTCTAGTCTATAAGAAGATTCAACGCCGCACTCTTTGTGACTAGCATTCGCATAATTAGAAATTTGTAGAGGACCGGAATAGTGTATGAATTTTAAACTGATCCTCCTGCGGGGTGTTACATTTTTATGGTTAATATGATAGCAAGAAAACACTAAAATGAGAATAAAACATAATCAAAAAGCTTGTAACTTTGGTAAAGTAGATTTTTCATCTCTGTAACCCGTCCAAATAGTGCTCGGCCTTTTCTCTGCAAAATAATTGTCCACGAAGGTGATTGCCTCTTCATTTGACGAAAATCTATTTCCTCCGAGCAAAATTTTTTTATGAGGGAACAAAAAGAAGTCGCTTGGGGCTAGATCAGGTGAGTAAGGCGGATGGTGAAGCAGTTCAATCTGTAACTCGTGAATTTTTGTCACGGCAACCACTGAGGTGTTTGAACTGTATTTTCTATTCAGGCGTATAAAGGTGTATCCAAGTTTCATCTACAGTAATTATTCGGCGCCAAAACTTGCATTTATGCACCTAAACTGCGCCAACAAAGCGTTAAGTTGAAAAACAACACAGTAGCACTCTCCGCTGCCGAATTGAACTTCGCCCTTTATTTCCTTAAATATATTTTGAAGGATTATTTTTATTTAACTGTATTAAAAGAGGAAATGTTAAAGACGTTATTATTATTATTATTATTATTTTCTTCACCGTAGAGGGCGCTGGTCAGGCCCTATTCCTCCGATTTTTACCGTTTTTTGCATTATATATGTGTATGTGTGTATATGTATACATATATGTGTATATATATTGTGTATACATGTGTATATATGTATATATAGTTTTTTTTGTCTAAGATGAAAAACAGAGGTTGCATATTTTGATGCAACCAACTGATCTTCAGCCTTTCCCATTTCAGTAAATGTTCACATTTATCTATTGTATCATTCTGGGAATAAAGACCTATTATTATTATTATTATTATTTTTTTTCACCGTAGTGTGCGCTGGTCAGGCCCTATCCCCCGAAGCCCCGATACATTCGGGAGGGCGCGCCAGCATAATCAACCAATGACCACTCCCCACACCGTGGGGTAAGTGATCATTGGGTCCGAGAATCATGTGCCCTGAGCAAGCGCAGTGAGCCAAGAATGACAGCCTTCTGCATCTGTGCGGCTAAGATTTCTGCCTTAGTGCGGCAAGCCGGTATGATTTTGAGATTCGAGAGTAGAGAAGACATCATTCCACCAAGGACTCCAATAATCAGAACGACCATCTTGACAGAGTGATCTTGATAGAGTCTGCGGAGTTCGAAGAGAAAATCTCGATATTTTATCCGTTTTTCCTCCTCTTTTCTGACGATATTCGTCTCGCCAGGAGCTGAAAACTCCACGACAAATATCGTTTTGGTCTGGTGGTCGAGAAGGACTACATCAGGCTTATTAGCTTGTATGAGCCTGAGGGTGGGGAACGAATAGTTCCAATAAATTCGGCACTTCTCGTTCCCCACAACGGATTCAATATCCCCCGTAGCGTAGGGCAACACCGGTGTCTCGTCAATACCGTAAGAGTGCCGTAGATGGTAATATAGCACTCTTAGGGCCGCGTTATGTCGATGGATATAGGCCGAGACCGCATATGCTGGACATGCTGATAGCAAGTGCATTAGGGTCTCGGGCGCCTCGCGGCAGGCCCTGCACCTTGTGTCAGGAACCTCTATACCCATCACGCGACTGCGGTAGACTAAGGTGTTGAAGACACCATCCTGGCAAGCCATGATGAACCCCTCAGTTTCCGACTTCAGCCCACTCGACCTGAGAAAAGCGAACGTCAGGCGCTTTGATAAGCCAAGGTCTCGAATGTTATTGAAGAAGACCCCATGCATTGGCTTATCCTTGTGCTTCCGCAGAAGTAAGGTGATCTCTGCGGCTTTTATCTGAGCTTTTTGCTGAACGGGTTCCAACTCGGTGACAGAGTTGTAGTCACCTCGTTCAGAGTGGAAAACTATACCGAGTTCATCAGCTGCTCGGGCAGCTGCTCTAAAGAGAAATGCTCCAATTCCTGCTCTCTCATGGTCACGGACCATGCAGAGAAGGGGATCCGAACTCCTGACGACTTTATAGGCTATATTCGGTACCATTATGTCATGTAGACACTCCAAACTCAAAAGTCCACGGCCTCCCTGTTGTCGGGGGAAGTACAACCGTGGGACGGACGATTTGGGATGCAAACTTTACGTCGAGTTGATACAGCTCCTCCCGAGTCCACTTCACTACTCCAAACGAGTAGAGTAAGATTGGAACGGCAAGCATATTTGTTGCAGCAACTTTGTTCTTCCCCGACAGTTCCGATGACCAGAACTGTCGAAGTTATTGCCTAATACTTGACACGGAGAGAGTTTTTCACTGCAGTTACCTCTTGTGAGTGGCGTTGTTCCATCCTGAGGTAAGTATACGTCTCTCCACCATCCAGATGGTGTAGATGCTTCCATCTACGAGCTGCACATCCTCTCCGTAGTCCCCGCATCGTCCTCTTTTGGGATGAACCATTGCACATTTGTCTATCCCGAATTTCATACCGATGGCATGTGTGTACCCTTCCACCACCCTCAAGCTGATGGAGATCCTTCTCTCCAGAGGCATAAAGTTTAAGATCATCCATATAAAACAGATGGGTGACCTTGTGCCTCCGGTTTCCGGGGGTGCCACAGTTATACCCTCGAGTATTTCTGAGCGCAACGGATAATGGCAATAGTGAGATGCAGAATAATAATAATAATAATAGAATATTATTATTTCGGGAGGGCGCGCTAGCATCATCAACCAATGACCACTCCCCACACCGTGGGGTAAGTGATCATTGGGTCCGAGAATCATGTGCCCTAAGCAAGCGCAGTGAGCCAAGAATGGCTGATATCCGGTTCGGGAACAT